TCCACTTCATCATATCAACTTAGTCACTATGTGACGGTCTTGAGGGTTTGCGCTGTGAGCTCCTTGGCATAGCGGAACTTGAGTTTTCCTTGACTAGATCGGTGAAACACCTACATTCACTCAGATATACGAATGTTTACTAAAAATATCGGTTTGCCCTATTTTTTTGGGCTTTAATCCACAGTTTCTTCACCTTTAAACTCTTCCCTTATTTCTTATCTTTTTTTGATAGAAAGGCGTTGAGGTTATCGTTCAGAAAATTTTGAGAAATGGATTCTGCGAAGTTACCCGAAAGGATACCAAGGCCCAGGGCTTCTTACCTATCAGCTACTTGAAACTTGCGGTCTCGTGAGACAAACTGGTGCTCTTCCGTCGCCACCACTTATGCCTAGTCGCCTGATTTCTTTTGGACGAACTTTGATCTTAAACAGTACATTTTATATCCACAGTCATCCGCACACTCACACCAATTAAACAAGCATAATAAATTTCTTTTAACGAATGCTTCCAAATAAATAATATGCTGATTCTTTATATCTTTTTGTCCTGATTATTTCGTTACCGTTTTTCTTTCTGACCAACAGCTAACGTGAGTTTTCATAATAACTGCGCTACTCTTCGTAGTTTTGCTGACGCATGGCTCTTTCTCTAAAGCTTTAAGCTTCGTTCTGCACGAAAATTGTGTTGCTGCTACTATTTAACACTTCTTGGGTATTTGTGTGTGTGTGGGTAGCTTTTTCAAAAGAATTGCATATTCGAGAACCTTCCTTACTCTGATTTCAGAGTTGCTAGTCCTTGACAATACGTAGGCTTTTATAAACCCCCAAAATATGGATTCTGTTTGTGCCTACAGTGTCTAGTGATAAAGAGTTTTAAAAGGTCCAGCTGCCTTGAGAAGTTCCACTAATTGACAACAGTTGGATGTACTCTATCCCACACCGAATAGGAGGTGCGGTCGTACTGCAAACTGTATGACTGTCAAATGAGATTAGATTCCAAGCACCGTTTAGAGCTTACGCTTATTGCTTCAGAGATGTTATCACCGCGTAACGCTTATCTGGTTAATCTCTGGATCACTCCGTTGAAATCAGTTGGTTTTCCCCTGTCCAGACTCTAGAGGCCGCGTAAGTGGCGCAAACTTCCCCATGTTCCCGCCCACAAGCCTCATGTTCTACGCACTCTGTCCTCCGGTTTTGAGGCGTCTACTATGTGTGTTCCGTATGTCTTAATGCGAAAAAGTTCTTATGGTGTTCCTGTTTTCCATTTTTTCTTGGTCGCCTGTTAACTTTTGCAGCAGGTGCCGTGACTTGTGAAACAGGTATTGGTTATATGCTTTTCAGTGGAAGTCACTGCGGTTGTTGTACTAATTGGCATGCAACACAACCCCAGCTCATATACTGACTTTTGGTTGTGCATCTTTCAAGGCCCTCTCTAGCCCATAATTTACATATTCTCTATATTTTAATTCATTCTCACTTTCTGTGTAAATTCTGCCCTCGGTTCTGTAATGGGTACGCAAAAAATTAGTTTTTAGTGCGCAACGAAAGGGTGTCCTTTTTTCTGGGCTGTTTGTCGACACTCGTGTACCCCGTTAATGTAGTCGGACATCCGATGACGAATAATGTTGTTTACAAAGTTCTTAACATGATCCATTTAAACTGCAGTATTTTATAAGCACTGGAAGGCTTACTTCTGAAAGTAAACATACAAATTAATAATCTCTAGGAAAAGTTTATAAGAGTAGAGTTCGTTGATGGGGTCACCACTGCACCTCAGTCTCGCGGTTATTTTATTGCAAATTATTCAGCGAAATTCTGAAAAGATACTCAACTCAGGCACCTGAAACATTGACCAAAGTCCGGAAGTTTGCTTTCATCTTAACAAGCCTTTCTAGGCCGGTGTAAGCAAACGAT